GGAAATCTAACATCCCTCGCCGCTGCGAACACTCGCTTCCCCAAAGTCGTTCGAACCACCTTTCACGAGCTCAAAGCACTTACCGTTCCACTTTCGAAAGCATTCGCCTTGTTCCGAACGCTCCGAGATTTCCCCGCCAACGAATGGGCGGATAAGGTCGAATCTCTTGAAATCACAAACTATGTATCTCCCGAGGCTCGGAAAGCAAACTACGGTGGCATCGAAGATGGCTGTATACAAAAGCCCTGGAGCAGTGCCCGAGAATGTGAACTTCGGCGCAGATTGCGCGCTGGGCTTCTGCGGTACATGGATGCGCGACGCCGGTCAAGAATGCCGTCGAGGCAGTTCGCTATCGAGACCGAAGTTACTTTCCGAACGGATTGTTTAAACGTTATCCGGGACGCTGAAGACGTGAGTAACCACAACAAGCGGATGTGGGAAGACGCGCTCCGAGCGGGTCACAACAACGCTTTCCTCGCTCTGCTTCTGCTGGCGCTACCAAACCTTGAAGAACTGCTTCTCGGTGGCGGTCATATGTTGCACTATCCGATGTTGCTCAGGGATGCAGACCCATGGCAAGGACCAATGAGCCCGCAGGTTGATGGCCGACGTCATTGGACCAATGACCCCTCGACGCAACAACTACGAGAGCACAAGTACCTCGCTCAAGTCTTCGAATCCAAGTACTCTCGCCTCACCAAGCTGGAGCTGCCATCCTCATGGAGTGGTATAACACGCTCTCGGGCTCAACGAATCTCGCCCATATACTACCATTTCGATGACTTACAGACGTTGATAATACCGGAGTCTGCGCTTCCACCTAGTCACGTCGTGCTGGCCAACGGACTCTTGTTCTCAGTACTGCCGGTGAGCCTCAAGTCTTTGACTATTGTCGATTGCATGGGTCCCACTACGGGGTTTGTGAGACGCTTGCTGAACGACACCGTTGTCGATCCGACCACTTATCTTCCAGATCTGCGCTGCATCAATGTATACTACATCGGAAAGCCCTTCTACCCAACGCTCATATACGGAGACATTGTAAGCGCGAAAGCACTCGGAATTACGATCGACCGTTTCTTCTTGAACTACGTAAACCCGACAACGACGCTGATGGCTTCAGATGTGGGAGGACAGCCATGGAAGTTAAGTACGGACGAGGTATTTGGAAGGGCGAAGATCCCAGCACTAGATCGGGGTGTTTGCGAAGTGGCTGGACATTGGGTGGGGAGCAAGCGAACAACGGGTCTTCCTGCTGGTAAAGCGAAGGAACATTTCCGAAATCGACGTGGCTAGTGGCGCGGGCATCAAAGTCAGTGGGCTTGGTCGTCGAGTTCAACGGATGTGCACTGTTGACCTTTCGATACGTCTTCCGTCTTATCACGTAGCTGCCGTATAAGTTCATAGCAACCATTCAGGTTCGTGATACAAACATGTTTCTCGTCGCAGTGATGCTAGCCGTTCTTTAAGCACACGAAAGTAGCAGAAAGGTATCATCATTGGCTCTACATAGCCTTGCTAATACCTGACGAAAGGTACGTACTAAACGGCTGTAAGATAAAGAATCTTCTCAGAACTGCTTCTGCGATCTCGAAATACGAAGAGAAGGAGCTTTCACAAGAGTTGATCCGGGGAGTATTGGACCTTTCAAGGGAACATTCCCTTAGGGACGGTTCTAAGTCTTCTCGATGCTCAGCCCGGGGGTCAAAGGCGCATTATCTTCTCTTTTCTTCGCGGTTCCCTAATGGCGGGGCTTTGTTGCAGATTAAAGGCGTTTTGCTTTTTGCGCACGCCTGTATATGAACGTCAGCAATCAGGCGCGCATGTGCGATAAGGTGGGCATAGCTGTAAAGGCGTTGGGCGGGGAGAAAGGGCATTGGGGCATGTGAGAAGGTAGCCACTGGCCGAGGCAGCCTAAACAGCGGAACAGAATGCGCTGTATAGTGAGACTTTCGGCGCGCAACATGGTCGCCCTAGTGCATGACGCATCTTTACAAACCTAAATTGTCGCGTCTTGAGGGTGTGTAGCTACTACTCGCCAACGACCATGCGTCTATCAACCCCGCCACCTGCCCGCTTCTCGCTAGCCTATTCCAAGGTTGTGATCAGTCAGACATGTATATATCAATAATCATAACGCAGCTCTCCACTGCGATACTATCACCATCTTCCATCTCTGAGCATCCATAATGTCCGCCCTCGCCGCCCAAAAAGCAACGGCCCAAGCCGTCATTGACGGGTACAATGCTTGGAACATGGACAAGATAATGGCCTATCGAACGGAAGATTGCACACAACAAGTTCTTCCTGCATCGCTAGGACGGCCAATCCAGAATAACACCCAATATCGCGAGCGCTTCAGTCAAATGCTGCCACATTTCAGGGACTTCAAGGTAAGACACAGGGTTAGGTTTTGGGACGCAAGCGACTGACGTGCCCCTAGGTTACTGTTCACACAGAGGTGCATGATGTAGATGCGCATACGTGTATTATGCATGCGACGAGCACAGCAGACAGTGACATCGGACCGTACGCGAATGAATACGCGCTGATCTTGCATTTCACGGAGGATGGGAAGCAAGTTACCCAATTTCTGGAATTCGTTGATTCGGCTTTTTCCAATAAGTTCTTCAAGGAGCTGAGGGATGCGGGACTTGGGCCACAATAGACGTGCGCAAATGCGATGCAAGCGAGACCTAGATCGATGGTATATACGAACCGAAGATAGGATACATGCGGAAGAAGGCAGCGTCGCCGGCATATCTTGTTCCCCATCAGGACAGAAGAAGCGGATATGAATGCATACAAGACATCGACAGAGAGCATGAGTGCGCTCAGTGATTTTGCGACTCCGTTGTACTTCGCTCAACAATCCTCACCTCCCTTATCACCTTCTCCCATCCTACCGCTTCACCTCGAAGTCACCTCCAGGCTTCCCCGGCGAATGCACCAGCTCATGATTGTCAAACTCCTTGCCCGAGAACTTGCCCTCACGGACTTTGTTCTGGTTCTTGTGCGCGGCGATGCTATGTTTGGTGACGCTGTCGCCGTGGCGGTCTTCCACTGGCTTGGGAACGTCGGAGGCGTACTCGGATTCGTGGCGGTGCCCCGGTCGGCTGGTATCATGTGACGCTGGGGGAGGTGGGGCGGCCTTAGAGGTGGAAGGCGCAGAGGAGGAGGAGGTGGTGGAAGTAGATGGAGTGGTGGTGTAGTAGAGGGCTGCAGCGCCGGCGGCCGCGGTTGTGGTGAGCCTGAGGCAGTCAGTATGGCTTGTGCAGCTGGTATGGGGACGCAATGCGCACCGCGCAAAGAGTTGAAATAGCAATTACTCACCATGTCAATCGCGATGATGTCTTCAGTGTTTCCTTGGTGCGCTGCTCATGGTCTGTCGCATACTGTCTCCTTGCTGCTGGGCACCTGGCCCTATATGGTACGCGAGACAGAGCTCGCAGTGAGGTTGCCTTAGTGGTAAACATTATGTCGCTGTTAAAGACAATGGAGTGGCAACGGCCAGTCCCAGCCTTGGATATGTATGCGCCATCTGCCCAGATGTTGATGGCTGGCCCCAAGCCACGCTACGTCATCGGCTGTTTACGCGCCTTGGAACGTGGACGCGCCTGCGCACGTGCCTACGCACGCCATGCCACGAGGCTCCTGAAGCAGAGGAAGGAGGCACCTGTATCTTGGCTATGGCTCCTCCGCTCTACTACCACCACTACCACTGCTACTGCTGCGACTATTCCGCTCTACAGCATCAAGCTGGTCCCATCCTCGGCATGCGTCACCATCACAGCTATACCTCGGTAGCGCCCTGCGCCGTGCCGCAGCGAGTCTGCGAGGACCGACGACGAAACAGGCTTGGACGGACTGCAACATGTCTACAGGTCCACCTTTCGAGCATATCCTAGTACTGGTCTTCTCTCCCGCGATCGCAGCCCTCCTATAGCGCCTCTCATGCCGTCCTCGCCGCCGTTCCGCTCTCGAAGACAGCGCAGTAATTTTATATACCACCAGATCACCCATTCCTTCACATACGACCATAGGACAATGAGAATTAGGCTTCCCGTCCGCTCAGCCATATACAAGCATTGTACCGGCGGATTAGTAGTTAGGTGGGTGACCACTAGCGAATCCCCGCTGTTGTATGTTTTTGCACATCCTTCTTTTTGCCATTTTTTTTGGCCTATATCGCAGCCATGACGCAGAACACGCGAGCGACCTCCGATTGTATACAATCGTGCTCTGGTAGATAAGAAGAACCTCCAATCTAATCACGCAAAGCTGAAACCGAAGCCGTAGCGACACGAGCCCACACCCAAGCCACATCGAACCTCTATGCCTCCAGCCATGGGCATATATCAGCTGTGCGGTAAAACTTTTGTTATTAGATCGGGCCACTATTCCCGGGAGAAATCAATAGCAATAATCTCAGGACCAACAGTAAGGCCTTGTCTTGTGATATGCTGGAGATGGTGCTGCGTAGGTACAGTCTTTCGGAGGACCACATAATACCAAAGCTCGGAACACAATAGCTCCACGCTTTTGCGCTTGCTTCCAAGCTGAGTAGGTACCTGTACGTCCGTAAGCTTGCCACAAGTACTGCTTGGCAGGATGGCAGTTTCAAGCTAGAATATCACAGTGTGGCTCCGTTGCTTACGTCCGTAAGCTATTTCTCGGGAGCTTTCGACCGATCGGAGCAACTTTGTCACAACAACAGGCTCGGCCGCAATGTACAGGAAACCTCCAAGGACAAGTCAAGTTATCATGGACTACGGTTAATATCGACAGCGAAATAATGATGCCGAAGGAGCGGTATGTTGAACCCTATTGAAGAATCCAGTACACGCGTTCTGGTCGGGCAAGGTATGTGCCTAGGTATATGAGTCTGCTTTCTCTTCTCTCTTCTTGCTATACCAAACTTCCATCTCTTCGTCTCGAACATACCAGCAATCTCCTGAAAGACTCTTCGAACCTGCATACCTACCTCAGAACCGATCAACATGACCGAGACTATATCCGCCGACTACCTCGTCATCGGCGCGGGCGCTACGGGAATGGCCTTCGTTGATTCCCTGATTGCCGCTAAGAAGGAGATCACGGTAGCCATTGTCGATCGCTATTCGCGCCCGGGAGGTCATTGGACAGTTGCCTACCCCTTTGTGACCCTTCACCAACCATCCTTCGTCTACGGTGTCAACTCTCGACATCTCGGAGATGGGAAAATCGATCAAGTTGGATTCAACAAAGGCCTTACCGAGGTGGCATCGGGCGACGAGGTTGTTGCCTATTACACCAAGGTCCTGAACAATACTCTCCTCCCTTCCGGTCGCGTTACCTATTACCCACTGCACAACTACACTGGCGATGGAGAGTTTCAATCGATTGTCACTGGAAAAACCATCCGGGTTGGACCGAACACTCGTATTGTAGACGCCACATACGTGAAGATCACAGTCCCCTCTATGGCTCCACCTTCGTATGAAGTTTCAGACAAAGTCAACCTTGTCACGCCCAACGCTCTAGCAACACTGAAGCGACCGTACGGCGCCTACACAATCGTCGGAGCCGGGAAGACTGGAATGGACGCATGCTCGTTTCTCTTAACCCAAGGCATTGACCCGAAGCACATTTCTTGGATCATGCCGCGCGACTCCTGGTTCTTGGAACGCGCTACACTTCAACCTCCGGAGACCACGCCCAACCCCGAACAACTGCTGGAAGAAAAGGGCGCAGCCATCATGGGGTCCAAAACATCTCAAGAGATGTTTCACCGCATGGAGGAATTCGGGCATGCTCACCGTCTGGACAAGAGCATCGAGCCTACCATGTTCAGGCACGCGATTGTCACCAAGGCGGAGTTTGACGAGGTGAAGAAAGTCACGAACATCATACGTCAGGGACGGGTCAAACGCATTGACCCAGACAAGGTCACTTTAGAGAAGGGCACATACACTCCTGTGCCCGACACTCTCTTCATCGACTGCGCTGCGGCTGCTTTAGGAAACGTGCCACCCATTCCCGTCTTCAATGGCAGAAACATCACGATCCAGAACATCAAGTTCTTCCAGCCCACGTTCAGCGCCGCTCTCGTTGGACACGTCGAAGGCAGTTACGACGACGAAAAGTTCAAGAACTATCTTTGCGACCCTTTTCCGTACACTCGCATACCGGCGGAATATCCTACGACCTTGCTGGCTTCTATGAGGAACAGACTCAAGTGGATGGCGGAGCCCAAGGTGAGTGAATGGTGTGAAAAGTCTCGTCTTGACTTTCCCATCATGGGTATTCCGCCGAGGGATCCTGAGAAGGCCGCAGCTTTCAATGCTGGTATTGAGCAGCGGGTGAGGGGTCTTTGTGATCACTTGGAAGTGATGGCAAAGAACGATGCCGCGAGTGTAGCTGTAGCCTAGTTGTAGTTGAGAAGTCCTCTTTGAGGCAATCCTTCTTTTGGATCGATCTGTTTTTGGAATTAGTTACGCATCTGTATTGGAAATGAATTCATCCTACCCAAGCGCTTTATTGCACCTCTCTGTGGGCTTTCATTGCTGCGTAACCTCACGTCAATCAGTCACTGTCGGTCCATGTAGCCGTCAACGAACCACAATCATTGCCTGCCCTTGTTCCTAGATTAAATTGCTATTATAAGACGACACCTGTGGGAATAGTTGATACATTATGGGGTGACTTGTTTCGCATCGCACCTCTTCGTGATGTACAGATCATATGCTGTTTTAACATTGGGGTAATCGATCGTCGCAATCTTTCCATCTTGTCCGCAACGGTTTGAATATGGTCATCATTGCAGCAGGACTGCTCCAGTACATAACTTATTCTACAAACGTGCTCTCAAAAAGAGAAGAATCGTCAATACAAGAGCTTGCTATTCTCGCCATCCATCCCTTTAACACGAATTGAAGTGTGATGCCATACTGGGGCCATTCCATTCATGAATATGGCGATGACGCACAGCGACTGAGCTGCCTAATCTTTTAAAACTCTTAGCAATCCGAACGCGAGGAGTCTCTCGAATGATGAAGACCGCAAGTATATGTACTCGCAAAGAGGAAAAGTGTGATCACCGAACAATCTCTTTCCACGACAAACATTATGACTACAACATCTCAAAGAAGAAGAAGAGGAGGAGCAAATCACCCCAGCTTTTCCCAGATCCCGTTGCTACCTTGGTATCCACCTATTGGAGGCCCTGGATGAAGTCGTAGAGTGCCTCATTGACTTCATCAGCCTGCTCGATATGAACAAAATGGCCAGCATCAACACTCCTAATCTGCATTTTCGGAGCGTATGGCAGCATAGTACGTAACTGCTCCGACGGGATGCCAACCGCATCCCTCTCGGCCGCGACGAACAGACTAGGCTGCTCAATGATACCCGACATCGATCGAATCTCTACGCTGCATTAGGTCATGCGAAACAAAGCGGGCATCTGGGAAACATCTTACCGTCCTCATCAGCGGAGTTGATACCCCGCAAGAAAGATTTGTACCATCTCAGACCAGCCTCAAGACCTCCCTGTGCGCGAGTGATGGTTTTCCATTGCTCTCGGGTCGAGGTGGTGATGAAGTCATTGCCAAATTCCGCTCTTCGATCAGCTGATAGCCATTTCTGAAGTGCACCAATCGTGTTGAAGTTCTCCACCATTACTTTTGGTGTATCGGACGAGAACATTAGGGAGTATGCAGAATCCAACTGTACTGTTGTAAGCTTGAGTCCATGCTCAGTCATAATGTTGAACTTACATGTGCATCCAAGAGAACGTGCGCGTCTGGTTGATCGAAGTAGTACCAGTACCCGAGAATGGGGTATCCGAATGTGGCTTGTGACATGTTGTTATAAGCCTCTACGAAGGTTTGGTTGAAGTCTGTGCCGGGGCCGTAGTAGCCGATATCCAAGAATGCAAGAGCTGAGAGATACTGAGGATGGTATGCGTGAAAGCGGGAGAGTAGAAAAGATCCACTAATGCATGTCAGTCTAGCGGTCTGGAAACGAGGAAACATGTGGTTATTGGACTTACAGGTCATGTGAAACTGCGACCACCTTATCAAGACCTTCGCAGTCGAGCAATTCAGCAATTTCCGATGCCATTGTCTTCAGACTATAAGCTTCCAACTCGACGGGCTTGTCCGTACCACCGGTGCCGAGAAGGTCTGGGGCTATGATGCCGTAGCCGCGCCTGGTAAAGTATTCGATCTGGTTGACCCAACTGTACGAAGTCTCTGGGAAGCCGTGAAGGAACAAGAGATATGGCTTTCCCTTGTCGAATGGAGGGTTGATGGCGTAGCGGTACGTCGTTCCGGAAACAGGAAGTTTGACGTTCTTCATCATGCGCACATAGCTGGTGTTTGCAACATCCGACTGATGAAAATCAGCGTCTCAGTACGATTTGGAGAAGCTCGGTTCTGGTAAACCTACGGTATCAAGACCCATGTTGAACTGGCATGTCGAATTCTGATCGGATGTGAGCATTATTCTTCCAATAACGCATTGCTTTGAACCCGTACCTCTGCCATTGCCCCGGACGCGAGTATCAGGCTGCTCATCAAGAGAAGAACTTTTAGAGCAGAAATCATAGGTGTAGTCGAGATGATAGAAGCTGTGTCTGATTCTGGAAAGAGTTGTCGTGGCCGAATCGAGTGTTGGTAAGTAACGTTTCTACAAAAGCTACCAGCTTATATGAGCCTCAAGTTGGTGCGCAAGGACTGTTGCTACTGTTGATAGATTGGTATCATGTTGGCGACGCGTTTTTCTCGGAAGACTATCACCCCGTCCGTGTCCGTCACGACTGTTGTTACGGCCGAGTTCTGCTCAGGCCTCTCCGACAAGTTCTCTACTCCTATACTAGGTTTAATTTAACTCACGTACTCTCCTATGCTGCTGGACTCAGTTATAGCTGTATTGGGCCATGAGTAGAAGATCTGAAGTGGAACTCGTGGCGTGCCAGAAGAAACCGGAGATGGCTGACGTGGTTGCACCACACCTGGGCATACAAGGAAGATGTTGAACAGATCCGCAGACTACATTACGATAGAAACATGCAAGGTAGGTGTGTCGACGTCGATGGAGACTCTTGGCTGTTCAATCTTTTTGTATGTCGATGTAGTTGTTGCTTCATGGTCGCTGTCCGCCGGGGCCATGCAGGGCGCAAGGCTAAGAAACGACCGGCGCTCACAGCTGCCCCGCCTGAACCGTCTGCGCCTGACCCGTCTGCGTTAGCCTCGTGCACCCTCAGCTCGACCTTTCAAGCTGTAAGAATACATCAACTTTACTGTGATACTTGGTTAGTGGTGAACTTGAGTCACCTTTTTTGGGTCGCAATGGTAGTAAGAGCTTCAAGGCTGACGCCAAGGTGTTGTCGTTTTCACGTGCTGCCGTCTCGGTCTTTTACCACAGCTCCGCCCTTTAACCGTAGCTACCGCCGCCCCGCCTATCAGCCTCATCGTCAATCTTGTCAATCATTGCGCAACGATGCCAAGTCGCAGGCTCTGCTACGAAATGATAGTCAAATCCGACATATAGTACGCTGGGGTAAGATCGTGTTGAGAAACGGGATATATAAAGGAGCGAGATACTTTCATAGCTTGATCTCGAATTCTCGCTGGAATGTGAGAAACTTCGGCATTATAGGAAGGAATTTGCCCGTATCGCCAGCATTCCTGCAACGCGTTCAGACTAGCGTTTTTCAAGTAAAGCCGAAGTGGCCTCTAGCTATTTATTCACCTTGGTTCCCCCTCGTCACCAGACTCGACCACACCCACAAACTATCATCTCTTCGAATCGATACCGCATCCAACCCTCGATCTGCGCCTACAATGCCGCTCCTCGCCTCTATCACCGTCTTTCTACTAGCCGCGCTCCATGTCTACATCATGGCCTTGGAGATGTTCTTCTGGACCTCACCAGCAGGGTTGAAAGCATTTGCACTCAAGCCTGACTTTGCGGCCAAAACCAAGACCATGGCCGCCAACCAAGGCCTGTACAACGGATTTCTGGCAGCTGGCCTCTTGTGGTCTTTGGTCCACCCCAGTGCCGTGTTTGCACCTCAAATCGCTCTGTTCTTCGCGGGTTGTGTATTTGTGGCCGGTGTTTATGGAGGGTTGACGGCAAATACCAAGATTTTCTTTATCCAGGGTCTCCCTGGAGCTCTGTGTCTTGCTGCGGTAGTCTTTGCGTAGGCGATTCTATCCTAGCTATGCCTATCAATAAGTCAAAGACTAAATATATTGAGTGATACGTCTAGCTGTGTGATGAGCTTATCTGTGAGGTACGTTGCTACATTGCGAGGACCGAGCTAACACAGTTCAGCATCCATTCGTCGGCGTAATCTTTTGGCCTGAGTGTATGTCGCGACCTCGGACCGACATGAAGGGAAGGAATGCTAACGCGCAAAGGGGAAGAACAATACGCGAACGAACATGACAGACCTTTAGAAAGCTACGGTATATTGCCGTGCATAACAGACGTGAAGGTACCTAGGTATTTTCTGTCGACATGTAATCTTGTGTATGCTATGAGAGCCGCAACGAACACGCAATTACTCCCACTTCAGCGCACCAAACGTCATTACCTTATTTCCAACATCGTGTACCGCTAGTACATTCCTGTGAAAGTTGGCTCCGAGGATATACGGCAGGTCGCCACCCCAAGGCGGAGTAGATGGTTCCATGAAACCCACTATGCATGTCTGCTTCTGCTCGTCGATTACACCTAGAGTGCCGTCGACGAGAACGTCTGATGAGGCGTAGGGAAGGTCCGTTCCGTTGATGCGAATGGCGACAGAAGGTGGTTTCGCATTGCACGAAGCCACCCAGAGCCCGTCATCCTCACTGAAGGAAGCTGGGGGGTCGAAGGCTGCAGCGATTGTCTCTACAAGGGCCTTCGGGATCATGGTGTAAGCGGTGCCGGTGTCCAGGATCGTGAATCGTTCTTGGCTGTCGCCGTAATGGGTGCCCGCGGAGGTACCTGGTGCCCAGGCGATGAACTTCCAGTTGACCACAAACCCGTCAGGTCGGATGACATAGTGGACATACTCGTTCTCCAGCTGGTAATGATCAAAAGTCTCTTTGAGGATAGGCGTGGTAGCGTAGGTACCCGTGAGCGGCAACGACGATGACGATGGCGCTCCTCCTATCGTAAGGAAGCCCGTAGCTGACAAGTCCGCGTCGTCTTTGCCCCTCTTGCCGAGTACGACCGAGAAGATGGGCTTTGCCACCAAGCCTTGGTCATAGGCGGTCTCCAGCCATGGTTTGACGAATATAGGCTTTTTTCCGCCGTCTTGGGACGGGTCTGCACCCTCAAAGATGGCGGTGGTGGCACCGAGTCCCCAGCCTAGTCACTCTCGTTAGCAAACACTCAAAGCAGACAACATGCCTCACGTACCCATAAGTCCACTAGTCAGATTGCCTGCGCTCAGCCAGTAGGTCCTGCTAACGAACGACATCTTCTGATTCTTGACGGTCACACCTCCAAAGCCAACGTCTTCAAGACCCACAATGCCAGTCGCAAATTCCCCTCCACCATATGTCACGTTGAAGTTCTGGTCCGCGATTTGGCCACCAGTAAAGCTTTTGGGGCCGAATTTTGGAAATCCGCAAGTGGGCTGAGATCTACAATGAGGAACGTTCAATATCAGATTCAAGGTACCAGACGAGAGTTGGGTAATGCGTTGGACTTACTGTTGCGTGCCGTTTACGTCTACACATACGAAATCGGCCTTTGGTACCCAAAAGCTGCTGCTTCCAGTGTCGATCAAAACTTGAAGCGTCTCCGTGCCAATGGTCACGTCAATGGCGTATTGCGCCCCATCATAGATCGTGCGTAATGGCCCACCGCTCTGGCGTTTCGCAAGTTGTCTGCCAGCGTCGGAACGTAGCTTGAGGGGAATGGCTGAGTCGACGAGCGGTATACCACGCTCTTGAAGTGATCGAGAATGAACGTCGGATAGGGACGCTACATCGCGGTGCGAGAGTGGTTGTGCTGGCGAGCTGGATGCAAAGGCAGAAAGGAATGCGACTGCCGCAAAAGCTACCTGCTGGTTTTTGCGCCTCTGCATTGTTGGTCTGGCGATGATTCCGAGGTTCAATGTGTAAAACAAACTTTACGATGAAGAGCGAGCGAACGGGAGGAACAATTATTACAGCCTCCCCCCTGGCGCGGGTGTAAGCTTGCAAACGGCCCGTAGACAATACCGAAGAGAGACTTAATCTTACCGCCGGTGAGCACGGTCAACATAACACCGAGATTCGCGCCGTGACGCCATAATTCGTACAATGAGCACGAAAAGAGAACCTCCAAAGTGAGATTTACTTACCAGGAACCATATTTTAAGAAGCTGTGCCAATCATGGAGCATTTGGCGTAGTCCGAAGATAGCCCTGCGAAGACATCGCCCGACGTTACGCTTGCGAACCGGGCACTTTCCATCCTAGATAGATAGACCGAACGAGATGTTGTACGATTACGAGGCTTCAACTTGCATCCGCTCGGCTATAAGCATTGTACCGGTGGATATCATTTAGCCTCTTGTCTAGCCTCTTTTTGCCCTCACTACGGCCGTGACACCAAAGAAACTAGCGACTAATTGTACCTACACGACGAACCCCTCTCAAACAAGCTATGGTACTGCGATGGCTCCTAGACGACGAGCCAATTACGACTCCCGCAATACAAACAACATACACGATGCCTGAAACCCCGCACCAAGTTATGGCGAAAATTCCACAATTGCGATGGCCGGTAGTATAAGAACATGGTCGCCGATACGAGTCTTGGGGCCTGGAGTGTATGTAGGCCTCACCCACTTACGATTCCTAAAGCTCCAACCATGCGCATACATGTGCTGCGCAACCTCGTTCTTTCTTCCGGCATTCCATGCCACGTCCAGCAACCTCCCTCCGTCTTCTTCATATTCCGCATCCGCACCAGCCCACAATAGCCTATCAACCGAATCCAGCGACCCGTTCGCCACTGCCAGGAATAATGAGTTTGACAAATCGATGTACTTCTTTTCTTTGGAATAGAGGTGGACCTTACGGAAATAACCGGCTCCTGTGTAACTCCTTGCTCCACCATTGCGTGGCAGTCTAGGGTGACGTGAACTTATCAAACGGCCATGACTACGGACCTCCGTGAACTTACTTCGGAGACGCTGCTGGTATGATGTACCAAAGTGGTGCGTGGGGATCATGGCCAAGAGTCCCGGCATCTTCTCACTCCTTGTTGCCAGGGTCGCAAAAATGGGGAACAACGCGCACAGAGTCTGATCGGGAAGAGCTCGGGCGAAGATTGCTTTGAACATGTCGAGTTTGCCATGAAAGTTTGGAATGCTGTCCATCCATTTGCATATGGCGTCGACTACTAACAGATCCCATCTTGCCAAGGCTGCGAGAAGAAGATTTTGGGTGAGGAGGCGTCTTGCTACGTCTGTTCTCGTGAAGACGTTGCCCTTTGCATCTCTGAAGTGCCGGGAAAGGTGGTTAATGAAGACGTCGATAGTAGCAAGCGGGTTGCTGGACTCTGTGATGGCGATATATAAGTACTTGTATAACTGTTTGTAAGTCAAGCGTTTGACTGAACGGAGTAGCAGTGTAAGCATCTCGTGACTTCCATGTTTGGCTGCAAAAGCGAGGATCGTGGTACCGAAGCAGTAATTCAAATCGTCCACTCCGCTGTGGAAGCCGGCGAATACTTCGAGCACTGCACCTCTATCGTCCGCATCGATAGCGCAAAGTATTTCCAGAAACTTGCGATCGTTCTCAATGCGCTTCTCGGGACGGTCGTTGACGGTGTAGTCATCGTAGTGTGGCAATACCTTTGCTGGCGCTGCTGAAGACCAGTGCGCGATTAACCAGGTCTCCTCCCAGTACTCGTGCATACAATAGCTGGTCCACCGGTTCAACTTCTCATGTCTAGCCGCGCGGTTTCTTTCCGATGTTTTCAGCTTGTTGAGCTGAGACTCATACACGGGGATGAAAAGGTGTGCGAACAAACTGTGCTTGGCACCGTGCTTCTTAACGCGATGTTGGAGGTATGCATAGCGAAGACCAGCTGGGACCTCACCCCAGAGATGTTTCCGACAATCGTAGGGACCTCCGCCGCCGCCATCGATGAGATAATTTCGTAATGACTTGAAAACGTCGTCTGTGATGAATAGTGAACGCACTTCTTCGTTGAATAGATCTATTGGATGTTAGTTACAGGAGAAGATTGACTGGGGTTGAGCAGCGTACAGCTAGTTAGTCTCAACTGCCAAAATTCGGCGCGGGTGTAAGAAGCGCAAGCTAGCTCCAAGATGCATTGGAGTATTTCGAGTGGCACCTTCATTCTCGCAGTCAAGGATTGGGATTAGGAGAGGATATAGAATGCGAATGTCGGTGGTTTTGACGGACGAATATCTTTGTGTGTGGGTCTAGGTAATGTTCAGTGAGTCAAGGTGAACCGTACCTTGGTTGACCTCTTGAATTCAATGCGCACATGCTCTGGACGCACAACGAGACCAAGGCCCGTGCCATTGGAGTGGCGCTCAAAGTTCTGGATGGGCTACATACAATGCTGGTCTGTTCCGGTCGGGTGAAGAGACACATCTCGCGTCACGGATGGCTATGACCTTCCTTCTTGCATCGGATGTGCTGGACTAGTCGTGCTAGCTGTCGCTCGCGTATCGCGATCGCGATCACGTTAGTAGAAACATGCGCTTCAAAAAGTACCATGGCGTCGAGAATATCTGTAAGGTCGTGGTTAGTTGCGCGGTCCATCGTCGTTAGAAATTGGGTGTGTGATTTGACATGCGATGATTTTGTTAATGCGCGAGGTGGCTGGTTAGAGGGCGCTAGTATGACGCAATCGTGACTCGCGCTATCATGCTGACTATGCAGGGGCATCACAACATTCGCGATCACTGGAAGGTCGTTCTTACATTCTCATTGCTTTCCGGATTAACTGACTTCTTGTTGATACATGTACAAAGAATTCAGAATTGGCGATAGCCAGCCATAACCTCTGGCACTTCCCAGAATCACCACTGCCTACACACAAGCGCCTCGCTTCCAGCATCGCGTACTACACCAACACCGCACTTGTCAAAACCCGCGTCTTCTGATCCGTGAGCCAGCTGCCCAGCGCACCTAGAATGTTGCGATCTTCCAGTTGACGCCAGGTCCTCGCTCTAGCTATTTGTGAATACGATCCCACCGACGCGACTGTTGAATTCTCTCTTCCACAGTGGCATCATGGACCTTGGGAGTAGGTTGTCACCATCGGCGCCGAATACTTCCAAAATGACATCATGGCTCTCGGCAATCTTTCCCGCACTGGATGACCCGTACTGTCGTATGATCGCCGTATGTAAGTTGATGAGCTTGTCTTTACGTCGCACCACGATGTTCTTGAACAGAGCCCTGAGGGACTCTTCCGACGGCTCTGGGAAGTTTGTGTTGACATGCAGCTCTCTCATACTCTCCGGAAGCATGTCGCCCATGCAGGGGATGTCGATATGCCCCCACGTCCGCGCACCAGTTGGAATATGCGCATCACGGCCCTGGCGCTGTCCGCTCTCCAGTGGCGGTCCACAGAAGCATTCAACGTCCACCTCCAGCTTTTGCAATCTCGTAAAGCGCAGAAACGAGGAAAGACCGTTTACAATCTCGCCATGCAGCTCGTCAATGGTGATGGCGAGGTCAACAATAGTATCGCTGTTGTAGTTCGCCAGGGCCTCGATCATTTCGCCCGCGTTCCAGTCGTGTTCAAGACCATCCCATTTTGTTTGGTGTGAGTACTTGAAGACTTGGAGAGCTGGTGTGTTTGTGAGGAAGGCCGAGAGTCCCGTAGCGTCCATGCAACAGTAGGCGAATTCGACACGGGTCAAAGGAGATTTGACATTTGGGTTGAGCCAGTTGAAGGGAACACCTCCCCAATCCTCGTCAACCGCAACGCAGCTGACAGCGTAGATGTTTCGTATACTATTGAGGGTCATGAAAGGCGCAAGACATTGCAAGCCAACTCTGACGTCATACCCTTCCTCCACGAACGGCAACAAAGTCTCAAGTCGAGCCAGGGCCTTCTGCCGGTGCCCACTTGCATTGGACATGGCGACAAGCGACTGCACATTGGAAACAAGAGCCTCGGCGCCCTCACCTTCCCTGACCTCATGCCACCTATCAGGTAGTTGCAACGTTTTGAGGTTGGGTAGAAGACTTAACAACGCGACGGTCGCGTACAACTTGTCCATATTCGACTGGTCACCCGCTCTGTCTTCTTCCAGAATACGACCCCACCACTCTTCCTCGTCAGCATCGGCGTAATATTCGGCGCGCCGCAGCAGATCTCTGATATTTTCCATCTCCTGCTCATCTTCGCGGAAACTGTGCGGGGTGGTATCATCCGGCATTTCATCGTCTTGCCGGTGATCCCAGAGAGAAAGAGTCTCAATGTACTCAGCAATGATCGGATCGCGAGAGATGTCGTGCAGGATAGCCAATGTGTCACCGCGACGAGTCCGGCTCATGTTAGTCGTGTGGCTCCAAGTCTTGCGCATGTCATTGTGCTGTCGGATCTGGGACGCAGCGCGTCCATACACAGTCTTACATGAGAGCACGAAGCTTTCAAGACCATCAGGTGCGGTACGGTCAATGATCAGGTCAAGAAGTTCTGGTGGAAGATCGAGGAGTCCCATGGTAGCCTTCGAGGTGGCGCTGCCGGCGTCAATGCCGCCAAAAAGTAAAGAGCAGGCGGAAGTCCTGGTAGACAGATGAGTGGCGAAGTTGTGGCTTTAAGTGTCAAACGTGTAGTAAAGGTATAATCCCACGGTTCCGATGCGAGCTAGTTGAAGCTACTGGTGGCGGCTCTCACCTGTGCACGAACAGATTCTAGAATCGCAACAGCGCAGGGTCCAGAGATGTTGGGCAGCGGATGAGAAGGTCCGGAACTGGCAAATAAGCGAAAAGATAAAGGTCGTTCATTGGTTTCGGTGTAAATCTCCTTGCTGCTCTCGTTTGAATCCTGTGGTGGGGTAAGCTAGCGGCGCTTTGGGCCTAGCCTGTGCAAAAAAAGAAGGCTCTCATAGCTTCGATCTCCGACCGCATAGGTCTCGCTTGATGTCTGCCAACATCGTCCTACGTTTGACATCTCGAGCCATTTATGTGCGAGATCTGTGGCATTCTCGTTCTACGCAGCTCTCACGAACATGGTCCCTACGTCTGTCTCGAAGGGTCCGGTCCTGATGAGGTCTTCCACCTGGTTATGGACAGCCGCAACGACTGCACAAAGATCGCTCGCATGCCAGTTTTGTATATCCCTTGATGGGTTCTATCATGGGCTGAGCTGTAGGCGTTGCTTTAGTGCTTTACGGGTGAAGTACCCGTCTTACAATGCTCCAGGGTCATAGCACTCGATCTGTCCACTTCCTTGTCGAAGATAACCATTCTCTGTCTCGAGAACTACATACACATCGGAACAACCTTCCCAAAGAGATATGCTGCATACGTTCGTTTGGATGGTCGTTTTATATACGTGGAGTCAATCTGTAGCACAGACTGTGGTTGCGAGAATTGTCTGGGCAGAAAACCTGATTGTGCACTGGCTATGATACTGTGACCAATTACAAACAACCCCTTTTGCCCAGAACCAGGCTGAACACACCAATTGGTTGTCTCCATGGCTCCGAATTACCGGACGTGCTTCTTCTCTGCATATCTCATATCTCAAAACTTGATTTAGCTCCACATCTTGAGCAGATGGTCGAGTATCTAGGTATTCCTCTCCTGATGTGGAGCCCACTGGCATGTACAACCCGATGTTTCTTAGTTCATGCGGTCGAGCCCGGATGAGTTGCACTACTGGGACCGTGAAGCGAAACCTTGGGCCGGAGAATGGGTTAGCTCGTTTCTAGTCGACCCAGTTAAGGGTCCGGCAATTCTCCCCATTGAAGAAGCAAGGATACATGCGGTCTATACCCTCAACGCTAAGCGATATGTACTTATGTACAGGACGTGTGGTCCTCCCGGTGCTATCTTTTCGCATGGAAGAAGCAAGCCTACATACGGTCTATACCCCCATCGCCAAGCGATTCATACTCATGTACAGGACGTGTAGTCCACCCGGTGCTATCTGTAGTTAGTGTAACGTCGATGGAAGGATCGATGAACAGTGATAGTCTAAGTTCGGTGCATCGTCGAGCGGGATGACCCTGAGTGAAAGTGACTGACTTGCATAAGCAGGTTTGTGCCAGACTTCTTGTACGGAACAGTGCTGGTGCAGGAGTAGTGTTGTTGGTACGGATGGGCCCTCCGACCCAATCATGGTGCTTCTGAACGCGATGTCACGTGGGCTGAGGGAATGTGCTAGATAGGTACCGTTCTCACATACCTGAGCGCTACCGAGGTAGTTGGACACCTGCAACGATTACAGGTATCGTACTCTTTTTACGCTTGAACGGCTTTGCACAAATCTTCAAGAGGCCCCTCAAATTATTCTAGTGGTCTTTCCAAGTGTCAAAGGGTTGCGCGCCCCGAAGCGTCCAATATTCACCGACACCGTTTCAGCCCAACTGTCATCAAGTTGTTCCCAGTAGGGCTGCTACACTTCTACACATCAGGTTCAATACCATGACTACCGGCGTCTTTATGCAGTCTTGTCACAACCGTCTAGCCACCGGGCCTGCGGGTCACGTAGCAAGGATATGATGCGTCATCATCAGAGCATTGCGCAATACGAGAATCCTCTTCGACGGCCGCTAAGGTTATCGCGTAACGCGGAGAAATGTTATGGAATGCAGCACATTCAGTGTGATCCGACGTCGCTGAATCAGCAGATCGCGATCTCTTCCAAAGCCAGGACCACCTTTCTCCGAAAGTCTTCCTTTGAGATGCCGTCCTGCTCCATCCCGCTTCATTCATCTCTCAAACGGCACTCTATGTCCTTGCGTTGCTGTTCGCTTATCGCTTTCCCAGCTCTGAGTGCATGAACAGATTGCAGACTCTATTGATGCAACATACTATTGGGTAATAACACCGAAGCTCCTAACCCCACAGGTATATGCCGACGTGGCCTCGCCCCGCCTCTTGCAACCTCGCAACCTTTGGGCTCTGTTGTGCAGTTTATCAGTCCCAGCGCTGCTCGAAATCCTCCAACGGCTGCGGGTCTAGGTTGCGAAGTAACACTGTATCAGGCGCCGGCGAGACTTCATCCTCCCAGGCATTACCTTCGGCTACTTCCGTCAGGAGCCCGTGATGCGGGTAGGCATTTCGACGACCATCTACATCTGGATGACTGGGCCGGCGGTGATGCTGAAAAGTCTTCTCAATCTGTTCGCCAACTGACAGGGGCGTGTAATATACGGATGAATCTCTAAGCTCCATCGGAGATGGCGATGCCGCTGGAGGTTCGTCAAGCGACATTGCATCGAGGTTGGACTGAGTTAGTGGTGACGGTACGGTCACGCGTGGGTCAAGATTGGGCATCCTCATCTCTTTAATCCGATTTGCACGCAGGCTGTTTCCGTGCGACGGATGCCGTGATTCAGTAAAGAACCCCTTGATCTCCAGGCACGCATTGGCAACACTGTCGGCTAGACGGTCCTCCCAAACTTGTTGACCTCGTCTCGGATGATAATCGCCGTATGCCAAAGCATCGTCTCCATACTTGTGACTGCTATGAGTTATATGCAGCTGCTCTACCACGTACTTCCTTCGCCGTGCTGCAGAGGGCGACTTCGTTGATGATGCATGGGGCGATCCAGGGTTCAGTTGTTTGACGTCTT